AATCTCCCTTTTCAAGTGATATCCGCAGAAAAAACAACACGTGTGTACGTTTTGATAACTTTTGTTGAATTTCGTTGCAATTTTAGCAAAATTCAACCAAAATGCGTATAGAAACGTGTTATTTTTGCTCAAGTAAAGTTTACCCGGGACACGGGATACAATTTGTGCGTAATGACTGCAAGGTGAGTGCGCTCGTTGTCATTGTTTATGTTTTGCATGCACCACGCTGTAGCTATCGGCTTTGTTAAGGAAAGCTAACTATTTTCGACTACGCAAATTGACTATTTTAAATAAAGCTGTGGTTCCATTTCTGCAGATTTTCAGATTCTGTCGCAGTAAATGCCACAGAGCATTCAAGCGGAAGAAGAACCCGCGCAAAGTACGATGGACCAAGGCGCACCGCAAAGCAGCGGGTAAGGAACTTTCTATTGACCCCAGCTTCGAATTCGAGAAACGCCGCAACGTTCCAGTTAAATACAGCCGCGAAGCGTGGCAGAAAACACTCGATGCGATTAAGAAGGTTACCGAGATTAAGGAACGTCGCCAAGACCACTTTGTCATGCAGCGCTTACGCAAGGGACGAGAAGTGGAAATACAGATGGATGTGAAAGATGTACAGCGCAATATTTCCCTGATACGTTCCCCAGCCGCTGGCCTTAAAGAGCGTCGCGCCAGGGAAGAAGCCCAAGAAGCTGCCCTCATGGATGAGGATCTACCTGAAGAAGAAATCACCTATGTAGATGCACGCGAATTGGAAAAGAAACTAGAGGAAGGCGCAACCATGGAGGACATTGAGATGATGAAAGCCTAAACAGGAAACAGCGTGTGCTACGGGGGGTTAGATATAAGACTTATGTTTGATTAAAAATGATTTACTGCTAATTTATAAACAGCTTTTGACAAAAATACGTACGTAGTAGTATATATTTATTGCGAGGTGTGATTTTGACTCGAGTTCATTACATCCAATTGAGGAATTATTTCAATATACCATAGTTTTCACCCCCTAATAGTGAATCATGAAGTGTGCTCGCTGTCGGTTCAATAAAGAAAGCGACGTGCTGTCGTAATTGGATTATTGCCGCTCTTTCTCCGCAACCGCTGCTTATCTATTGGTACTAATGGTTGCCGTCCTTATGTCTGGTATTTTGTAGTTAGTTATAAAATTGAAACTGAGAAGAGAAGTGCATAATTTTATTGTTTTCAAAATGCATTTCCAGCGTATGTATAAAGATTGACTAACAGAATGTAAATATTTGTTTAATTCACATGCATTTCTTTTGCCTAAAGAAATACTGTTTGTTGGGGCTATCATCATCGCATTATTGGCATTTTTGTGGTTTGTATTTGTACCGTTGTTTGGCGACAGCACACCGAATGAGCTCACTCCCCAATCCGGTTACGTCTTCGACTACGTAGTGGGTGAGCGTTGTACATTTTCATATTAGGTTTTTAGTATGTGCAAATGTATGGAATATTTTATGCATTTTAGTTGGTGCTGGAACTGCTGGTTCAGTGGTAGCTTCACTGCTAGCCAAACACAGCCCAACGTCATCAGTGCTGCTCATAGAAGCAGGCGACTCTTTTGGGTTGTTGAGCAAAATTCCTTTACTAGCAACTTTCCAGCAGAAAGGCCTTAACGATTGGGGATTTTTCTTTACTAGCCACTTTCCAGCAGAAAGGCCTTAACGATTGGGGATTTTTGTCGGAGCCACAGGTGTATTCTTCGCGTGGACTCGAAGGACAGGTGAATATTAAAAAACAATTTCTTAGCTGGACATAAAAAAAATTGTGGTATATACTAAATTTGACCCAAATAGGACAATGGATTAAAAAAGGATTATTTAGGAATTTAAATCAATATATTCTTACAGTTTGGAGCGTTTTCATTGATCCTAGAAAATTATATTGACCTCAAAAAGAAAGAACTCATTTTCTTAAGTGTAATTCCTATGGGAAAAATAAAGTCTCGCGGCGCCACCTCCTACAATTGACCTAGAGAGGCGAGATTCATGGAGAATCATTACTACACCAAATGCTAAAATTTGAATTTTATTCCGGTCGCCTAATGTACACACATACATACATACATATCCTCATCATAACAAAATGTCTTGTTTCCCAGCCAACCATCAAGGTCCTCAGGGTGCACAATAGGGTGATCTAAAAAAGTAAAGTCGCTTTAATGCTCTCACCCCCTAGTATGTACTGTTCTATAACGAAAAAATATACCCCTCTTTTTATTTTGAAATCAACACTTCCTCGCCTGGGTAAAAGATTTTGGTATGTTAATTTCGGCAGGTTGTGGGAAATCGCGATTGAAGCTTGGAATGCAATTTCTTAAAAACGCGATGATATATTTTTACTCCAAAGTTTCTGAAAATGTTACTGGTTCACAAAATTTTTTAATTATTTTTAATATTTATTGTTAATTAGTTTTGAGTTAATGAAGGATTTTCTTTTGTAAAATTTTGTCGTAAGCGTCATTTGTCCATAAATTGGCAGCCACTTTGTATGAAATACGACAAAATGCGATCAAAATTTCTACTAAATCAACGACACTTTTTACTCAATATCTGAGAAGCTGTAGGAGATATCCAAAAATGGAGAACGTCATTTTAAGATATTGATTAGTTTAATATAACTGCATCACTGACTAAATTTTTACTAAATTATCGAAAAAATTTTAGTCGATATCTCGGAAACCTAAGGAGATATCTAAAAACTGATAACACCAATCGAAAGGCCTTATTTCAAAATATATAACTGCATCTAAAACTAAAAATCGTCAAAATTGGGCTTACGACAATCTTTTACCCAGGCGACGACTTTGAGATCACAAAACTCTATCTTTCTTCAGTAGACCTCCTATAAAGCCCAATCGCTTATTTTACCTTTTTTTTAAATGGTTCCAATAGATGGCGCTGCAGACGAAATATATAAAAACCCCGTGTGTCTGGTCTACTTTATGTTACACGAATTTACTTTTCAGATGACAAATAGACAATGCAGATTCCATTGCTGAATCTCTGATCGAGATAGCCCAGGTCTGTAGAAAAAAATTGATATATATATGTATATACATACATACGTCCTTGACGCCCGAATTGTAAAAGTGGCGAGTATTAGCAAGGAAATATTCGACCACATCAATCCGCGTAGAATAAAACGGAGGGTCCCCCAAGGCGGCGTACTCTCCCCGACACTTTAATGTCTACGTGGCAAAACTCATTCCGTCACCAAACACAAAGTCCTTAAGTCACTAGCCGGCAGCACTTGGGGAGCACCGTGAAGAAACTTACAAACCCGCCAGAATGCAACTCTACGTACGGCTACATGTTGTCATCACATGTCATGCGAGCATCACCTCCACCAAGAAAGCCAGTTGCTTGCGGTAAGAGAGCATATGGACTTTTATTGGCTTACATGACATACATATGGCTAGAGGCTGACGCATCGGACTAATGTTGTAGTTGCAAAGTCATAGAAAAATATTATGCCCGCTAGACAGAGATCTCACAGGTAGAAATAGGACCATAAAAGCTCAGACCGGTAAAGCTCATAACATCGAAAGGGACTAGTATTCCATGGTGCAAGGAGGGATCTGCTCTTTAGTTATTTCAACTAACTAACTAAGAAGTTTTACTTTACAAATCCTTTTTTCTTTTTATTAAAGCTATTTTTGCATAGGCACTGCGAAGCCAGCGGGCATTGGCTAGTTCAGTAAAAAACAAAAAGTATCAGTCCAGCGCCTTCGTCTTGACCTGCAGGATGTGTCTGAGTCACATTCAAGTTAAAAACAGTACATGAAATATTCGTTTTGATTGTATTGAACTGAATTTAACTCAATATGAATTGCAAAATATTAACACTTAGCCATAGCAATAGCTTATAAATAGATATATGCCATGGCGTGTATCATTATTTCGATTCATTTTTTTTTTCTTTCATACTGCGGAGATTTGTATTACTTTTTATATTAGCCAAGGACCCGTATTAGTATTCTTTAGGTTTGTTCGTCGAGCAAAAAATTTGTACGAATTTGTACGAATTATCACGATTTTTGCCCAAATCGCGTTCGTGCAGACCAAAAAATTATCCAACACTCAAAAATTGTGAGAGCAAAGTGACAGTTCTCTTGGAGAGAAGTTGCAAATTCTTGCTGGAAAAAATTTTGCCAGCAAGAATTTGCAAACACGAAAAACATGTGGTTGTGGCGCATGGTTGCATTTTTGTCTACAANCGACAGCTAGTACGATGAAGAAATTGAAATGTATGTTAAAGAAAGTCAGAACAACAAGAAATATACATGTATATCCTGTTTTTGGCCATCCGAAAGAATTTTAAAAATTCTATAAAAATTTTTTATGTTTGAAATGCAACCGTGGACGCCAGCTGGCAGCGAAACTTGCAAATTCCTGCAAATTTGCGTTCGTGCAGAAATTTGCAAGTTTCTCAACATGAGAGAGAATTTGAGAGAATTTTTTCTTACTCTCTGATATTTTGAGTGTTGGATAATTCTTGCTGGATTTTCGACGAACAAACCTATTATCTTCGTCTCGGATTTGTGCATAAGTTAGCTAAGCTTCTAAAACAGCTGGCAGCTCTCCCACATATAAGGTTCGTTCGCGTAGCTGTTAATTGTTCATGTTTAACCAAA